AGCTCTGCTTTGGTGGAAAGTGGGACATCAGCTGGGACTCCTGTCAGGCTCATCCCCCCTGCGTGTTCGTGACTGAGCTCTACATACCCCTGCAAGGTGAGGAGCAGGGGTTTTCTTCCTTTTAAGAGGAAAGTTTCGTTTATAATCTGTGCTTAGCAGACTGGTTAGATAGATTCAGGACTTTAAACCTCTTTCCTTGTTCAAGACTTGCAGTTGAAGCTAAAATCTTGCTCCAGTCATGTTTCTATGAGATTTGCAATGGCTTTTAAGGTGCTTTTTAAGCTCTGTATGGAAGTTACCCCTCTACTTCCTCCACACAGCAACTGTAACAAATCTGAAAGCCTTCCTGAAGCTGTGCTTCGTTAATGCCAAAAACCCCCATTTGAAGAGAAACAAGCACGTCCAGAATCAAGGTACCAATCCAGTCATCTCCAGCCAGTGGGACTTTAAAGCTTAACATGTTCCAAAGGACAGCTTCCTTCATCTGGAATTCTAAGGCACTGTTAAACTTTCATTCAGTGGAGGAAAAAGAAAGAGTTGTAGAAAACTCATTGCAGTAGTTATCTGCTACTCTCTAACAAGCACGGATGGCTTAAGTAATGATCTGGAAATGGACACACCACGCTAATCTGCTTCTGTGAGAGCAGAAGACTCTTCACACTGCAAGGCTTTGTACAGGAGGTGGGTTTGAAGCTCCTCCTCTCCATCAAAGAAGACATCACTTCACAAGGGACATAGCCCTCCAGTCTCTATCAGCCAAGTTCTTTAGGCACGAACTCTTCAAGCCTCTCTGGAAGTGGTAGCTGTTAGCCTGCACAACTGAAAACTTTATGCCCTTGTTTGCAAAGAACAGTGCACTGGGAAAGAAATCTAATTTATATGTAAATGGCTGGATGTAAATTACTTTGCGAGCTACCCTTTAACCCTTTGCGTGGGCGAGGGATATTTTTAGCTCTAACAGTGAATAGTAGCTCTGTGCTGTGTGTTTCAGAGCAGCAAGGCAGAGCTGAGAACTCCCGGGTCAAGCAGTTACCCTGGGTCAGCACGAAAACTTGTGGAGCGGGAAGGTGCCCAGTCTCCCCATTACATGGCACCTCCCTCCCTCACCTGTTTGGTACTGCTGGCTGCCTGCAGCCAAGGAGCGTAACTTCGTGTGCTTTAGAGGGGAGTGTTTAAAAAAGGAGGAGAAAGAAGGAAACATAAACGGCCAGCTAAGCCTGCCCTAGGTGCAGGCTTTCAAACGAACGAGAGTGCAGTTGGATCCTTGCAGGCTGCAGTAAGAAACACTTTCCACTGCCTAAAATCAAAGGCTGGCTAGGAGTGGCTGCCTGAGGGACAAGTCAGCTAAAAATAGCAAGCCTGGCCCCGAATGTGCCAAAGGAATAGGTCTGCTGACGTCAAGGCCCTAACAGAGGCAGAGATATGTGTGCGAGGACTCCCAGCTGTGTTGCAGCCAGCCCCACACTGGGTTTTCCGCGCCGCGTCTCACACTTACACTGCTTGCTCCTCCAGCTCCCCACCAATGCGCTGGGACATGTTCTTCAGCACCCCGATGCTGCCAGAGACCAGCTCCAACTGCTCATCTTGCTGCTCCACGATCAACTGGGGCCAAAGAGAAGGGAAACGGGCAATTACAGGTTTGTCACCTCCTGCAGCTGGGTCGGAGCCAGCCGATCTGGAGGACAGATGCTCGCTACTCAGCCAACATCAGCTGTGAGGCCTGGGCACAGACCTACACCACCAGGAACAAGGACCGTGTTCCTCAGAAATGCTGGAGAAGTGACAGCTGCAGGAAAGCCTCCCCACCGTGGCATCCCCATGACACAGCAGGCTGCAGTCTCCCGATATCCCTGCAAATCCCTCAGCTCAGCTGCACTCCTTCCCTTCTCTGCTGCACCCACTGCTAAAGTGACTCTTGAAAGCCACATGTGCTGGTCATCAAAACCTCTGCAAGCCCTCCTGCTTGCAGCAGGCACCAGGGAGCTACACTGATGCTGTGCCTGGGAAAGGCAACCTAGAACATGCTGCAGCTAACAAGGGGTTAACGAGTAAAAGCCTGGTGCCAGCTAAAAATAGCAAGCCTGGCTCTGAATGTGCCAAAGGAATAGGTCTGCTGATGTTTTAAGTCATTTTCAGGGCACAGTCACGCTAAGGATTAGATTTACCCTAGTTACCTACTTCTGAATCTATTTATCTTCCTAGAGTCACTAGGTAAAACTCGTCTGAAAGCCGGGGAGGCGTCACGGGTCAGGAGCTTTAGCAGAGTCTGCTGCCTCTGAGAAGCTGCCTGTTGGAAGGCCCACGTTTGGGTGGGCTGCTGCACGAGGGTCTGCGCGCTGCCCGGGCACTGCTCCAGATGAGCTTCCCCCGGCAGGAGGGAAGCACCTCGCCAGGGGTTCTCGCCAAGCCCTCGGTCCAGGCTTTCTCACGAATCTCATGTTGACAAAGGCAGGAAAAGGAAGCAGGCACGTGCTCCTGCTCCGAGCCTCTTCTGATGAAGATGCACACAAACAACAGCAAACATCAGCTCATTTTTTAACCGGGGAAGTTGCGCAAGAGAAACGGGCTCTTTTCTGTTTGCAACATTTCTACTCTTCCAAGGATTTCAGCAATCCTTGTAGTATCAAAGCTTAGTGTGCTACATCTTCCAGATCATCTTGTTTGCCTTCTGTACAAAGCAGAAGACCTGAGCCTTAAGCATGAAAATCTCTGCTCCCAGATGCATCCAAAGCTGTGCTGTACAGGGAATGCATGCACAGGTATATGCTGCACACAGAGGGCTGTCAAACTCCTGGATCCAGACCAGCCAAGGACTGGGTATTTTTTTTTTGGCTCTTGCAGCCTGTACGTCATCCCCCTGGCACCCATTTGGCAAGCAAAGCTATTCAGTCCACATGGTGCCAGCTGTCTTACCTGTTGTTGAGCTTGCTGCTCCTCGATGAAGTGTGAATTTGCTAATTGCAGCTCCCGGTCCAGACGGCTGTATTTGTCAGGTCCAGAGCTCCAACTCTGACTCCCGCTTTCTCCCAGGAGTGCCTAAACAGATGCAGAGAGTCCTTAGCAACACCCTTGTGTCTGCTCACAGCCCATTTACAGGGTGTAGTGGGAAGGCAGAAGAGGCAGTAGTACACACACACAGAGCATCCTTTTCCTCCTGCTCTATTGCTACTCAGCCAGAGCACTGTCAGGAACTAAAACAACGCAATACCAGCCTGGGAAGTCTCCGCAGCCTGACATTGCAGATAGGCCTCTGGAGTACAACCGACAGACGGTGTACTGGAAGTCTGCACAGCACAGCAGACCAGCAAAGATCTGCTCAAGAGGCAGCACTGAGTGCTAGGATGTGTAAGCTGGTAAGTATCTGGATATACTGTGTTAACAGATGTACAGCTCGAACTGAACACTGTGCTGCTAATGACAGGGGCTTACGAGGGACTGGATAAAGCACTTAACCAGTTGAGCTGACAGTAAAACAGTGCAATCTAAGACCACAGCAGTGCTGTATGCTCATGTTCTTGGGTTCAGGCTACCTGTTCCTCTGGCGTACCATTCAGCTGCCAGCATACAAGATTACACTTGCTACCTGCTCTACAAGCCAAATGGAGAAGCTTGTGCAAAACCAGCAGACGTGGCTTTCCAGCTGAGTAAGTCTGGTCCCTGGAAGGGGTATAACACAACCAACAGAGGCTGGCGAATGAACGTGCTGCACCCTGAAGCACTACGAATGCGTTAGGGAGCTCTGCCCACCAGCGTTGGAGGCAAGGCTGACTCGTAACGAAACCGTCTCACAGCTTCTGGTCGTGGGCAGGAGGGGATGACCAAGTATTTGCGAAGAACAGCAAGACAATGACCAGGCTCCTCTGGCAGGTGAGAAACAAGATGGTCTCTACAGTTCATCTGCCTTACAAGGTTCAAGGAGGGGTGAAGAAAGCTGACGGACCGACTGTGCAGGAAGCCAGCAGGACGTCTGGCTTTGTCTGCCCCCGAGACACTGAGCAAGCTCCTGGTTCTCTCCAGCTCGTGGCAAGCGTAGCCACCGTTTATTTAACGCGGTGCACTAGTTTTGCTGCAGCTTCAACAGAAAGGCCTCTGTTTGCCAGCCTTAGCCTGTGAGGGTCAGGTCGCCACCAGCCAGCCTCTTGGACACAGAGAGACACTGGAAAAGCTGCTGCAGCCCAGCCCACCACAAGCTTCACGATCTGGAGGGAAGGCGAGAGACTGGGGAAGAGAGCGGAAGACGGCAAGGGGAAGTCGGTTTTCCTGACCAGATGTTGCCACGCGAGCTGGGCCATATGGTCTCCTGCAGCTAGCAGGAACTTCACGCAAAGGAAAGCAGCAAAACGTGGAGACAGCTAGAGACTTGTTTGAGTAAGGGTGTAAGGGACTTTGCTTCTTCAAGTGTTTGCCAAGCACGTTGATTAACCCTGTAACAAGCTCAGGAATCAGCTCTGTGCTTCTCAGTAGCTTGTTGCAGTTTGTCATTTTTACCACAAGTGGTAAGACTGATGCAGCCAGGTAAGTTAATTGTACGAAGTGCACATCAGCTTTTACTGAGGCAGCTCTGGAAGTCAGCTCTGAGATCTCCTTACAGCCTCCCCGTCAGCCAGGACGGAGCACAAGCTGCATATATTTCTGTTCCTTAGATTACAACTGCAGACAACCTGAGACTCCTTGAGGTTCTTCCATGGCTAACTCTTACCAGAGGCGGCTGTGTGAAAGGATATTGCAGCATCTTGGCTCCTAAACACAGCAGAGCGCAGGATTACATTCACTGACATGGATTCTGAGTCTGATCCCCCCTGAGGAGGAGGGAGATTCCCCTCTCCGCGGCATGATGCAACACTGACAGTTGTACGCAACCAGATCTGAAGACGGAGACAGATGGTGAGTGCGGACTTACTGCTTTGAGAGACAGGCTTGGAAGAGGGTGGCAACAAGGTGCCTGCAAGAACCAGCTCTCTCAGGTCAGCAAAACAGACGTGGTTCAAACACACGGCTTTGCTGCAGCACACAAGCCCCTTCCCAGAACAAAAGTCTTTAAGGGGATGAACTACAGACAACATATATATTGTAATTACAGCTTTGACGCAGTTTTTGTCAACGTACACACTTTACTTTACAACGTGGGGCCTCGCAGTACATGAAAATGGAAGTTTCACCTAGCACACCTTAAGACAACAGCCGCTAGAGCTGATAAAACCTCCTCACTCCTCAGAGTACCAAACAGCCACTGTATTCGCTTAACTTGCCTGTTTCTGGTTCTCACCTGTCTGTTTCTTCTTTCAGCCAGTGCTTGCATGGAGGAATTTGACATCTGATCCTTCATCTCCTGTTTGTTCAATGAAAGAAGAAGTATGTTAGCATTGGACTTGAGGTGACAGGCAGTTTCAGGGTGCTACAGGGCTGTCTACACCCAGCAAGGCTTTTTTGGGGGGAGTGAGGGAAGGGAGATTTTCTTTGAAAATTTACAGTTTTGAAGAGTCTGGAAGGATATTGTAGAAACCTTCATTGCAGTTCAGTGGTTTAATAATACTAGAATCAACGGTAGTGGGATGTTTTGAAAATACTCCTTATTCACTACTTGTTTTACTCCACTACAGCCAGAAACATTTTGATTTGTATAATATTAAACTAAAGTTCCCATTGATAGACTGTAAGGAAGAGTTATGTTCCTGAAGGAGGTTTTGGAAGCCTGTCCCCCCTTGCACTTCATTCCCAGTTGCATCCGGTTTTACATTGCATAGGACAAGATACATTTCCTGTCCTGTCACCATCCTCTCTGACCATGCCTATGTTTTGCTGTTAAGTTTTGCTGTTGAGCTCCCGTAGAAGATCACTGGCCACAGCAGGCTCTCTCTCACAACGTAGTCTAGTTTTTATAGGGTAGATTAGCAAGTAGTCAACATGATTCTAACAGACGTTGATCCACCAGCACAGTTCTAATGTCACCAGAACGTTTAGGTATGTTTTACTGCTCAGAGATGTGCAATATATCACCGACGGGCAGCAGATCCTACTCAGTTACTTCTCACCAGCTAATGCACATGCTGCTGGGCATCACAATTCCCTCATCAAAGCTGGAAGTCAGCTGCACAATGCCACCAACAAATTTCATTTAGTGGTAAGAGATGCTGCTCCAAAACTCCTTAGCCTGCAGTTTTCAGGCAGGAAAAGAGGAGCATAGAGCAGGCTTGTCTGATCCTGCTTGTTTGGGGAGTAGACTACAATGAGGACAAGGCAGCGAGCACATGCCTGCTACCTGGGGCCAGTGTGGATTTGGGATCGGTTCCCAGGCAGCAAGCCTTAGGAACTGCATCCAGACCACAGGGCTGCAGGTAGGGTAAGAAGCTTGCTGCCAGCCACAGCAATGCATTTGGTGAAGCAGGAACATCAGAATCACGAGGGGCAGCAGAAACTCAGCTACGCTCAGTGTAGCCATTAATAGGGAGAAAACTTCCTAACTAGCAGCTTGTTACGAGGCAGTGAAGCTTCGGGGAAGATGTTTCTTCTCTATTTATTACCACTAGGTTGTTAAAATCCTCCTTTTGCTTCTGAAGTGTGAGCTTAAACTGAAAAAAAAAACCACTTCACGGAGTTAAAAATAAATCTAGTGGTTGTTTGGACACTTTTGTAGTGGTAGGAAGTTGAAGTCACCACGTCAATAACGCTAGGCTTTAACCATCTGTCAGTGTTCAAAGTGGACCCTCTGGTTTTGAAAACTAGTGCTACAAAAAGCACAGGACAGTCGTGATTTCCTTCAACTCTGAAGGGAGACTCCAGTCTCCCGTGTGTCGCAGCTGCATCTTTACTCTTCCTTCCCAGTTTCTGTAGGTTCCCAGGCTCACTATTGGAAGAGATGTGTGAAGACCCAAAGGGGCAGCAGTAGCAAAGAAGGGTATGCCATGGGGCACCAGCCCCAAACCTGTCTGGGCAGCTCCAGGAGCGCACAGGGAAGAGGAGGAAGCCTGAGAGAGAACAGGTAGCAGATTTTTTTCTCTGCTCTCCACTTTAGCATGGAAATGGCCACAAGCTTTCCTTTTTTTAACTACCTAACCGCTCCTCCTGCATTCCCCCCAGCTCCCACTCCAAGCCCACGCTCCTTACCCTGACCACCTGCCGCGTGCTCGTGATGAAGGCTTTCCTGATACCCAGCTCCGTCGCATCGAGGTTGAATTTCCGCGGGTTTGCCTCAACGATGCGTAGGCAGCCAGTCAAGGAGTCCCACGTCAGCGGCGCTGGGTACGCACACAGATACGCAAACCCCGAGCGTGACACAGCGGGAATCTATCGGGTGGCTGTTGCACTGTGCCTTTTCCCAAAATTTGATTAGCAAAGTATGAAACACTGGAGGAAAAAACAGGCACGGCAGGAACATACTGTGCGTTTTTTTGCAGGTTTTTTTTGGTTCTCTGATGCTGCACAGCGCTTTCCGGAGTGTTCAGATGAACACAAGGGAAAAGGAGTATTTCTGGAAGCCAGCCTAAAGGATGACTGACTACACAGAAATCCAAATTCATACAACACAATAGGCTTTTCTAGAACAAAGCATCTTCGAATACACCTTGTCAAAAGGAAAACAAAAAGGCAGAAGGAAAATCCTTTTGCTGAACACATTCGCCTTCATTTCTCATTTGCAGTTTGAGAAAAGCCAGCGTAAATGCAAAATTCAATCCCAAACAGCCCTGATTTCTGCAAAAAGTAGCTACTGGCAGGGACTGGTACTCGGCTGCTTAGCGCAACTCGAGAACCGCACGGCCCTAACTCCGATGGACCACAGAAAGGATATTAATTGTTTCATCCAAGTCTTCCAGGTCCCACTCGATGCTCCGCAAGTTGTTCCTGAGCTCATTAGTGGTCCAGTCGATTTCTTCTCTTGTGGCAATGGAGGGATCTTGCAAGAGCTCCGTCCACCTCTGGAAGAGTCCCTGGGCGGTGTTCACGGCTTTCTGCACCTCCCTGCAGCCGGGGTGATTAAAGAGAAGCAAAGGGATTATCATCAGTCGCTCTGCAGCAGTCACGGCGCGACAGCCCCGCGTCCAGCTGAGCAGGGAAGCACAGCTTTCTCCAAAACATCTTTCCTTCAAACAATTTTTATTTTATTTCATAAAATAAGGATTTGCCCTACGTGCTAGACAATTCCTGTTGTAGCACCAAGTGCGGAGCAACAACAACATACAGGTCAGCTATTAAAGGAGGGACCTGTTTCTTTAGGTGAGGTTTCCATTGAGGGTTGCACAGGCAAGACAGGGTAGAGTGTCTGAACAAGGCTGCTCTTTGGCAATTAATGCTTCACATTCCTCCGAAGACTCTTGACTACCTAGGTAAGATACCCCAGGGGCACTCAGAATTACAGGAACTGTCCCCACAATACAGCCAGGCAGGCTGTTGAGTGCAGCATTGTTTATTTTAATTCAGCATTAAAAAAAAAAAAATAGGCAGCTCTACTACGCTGGCTTAGGGAACAGAATTCCTTTCTGCTGCTCTAAGCTTTTTGGAGGCGAGAGCATTCACGGCACGGGAAGGCAGCTTTGCTGACAGCACTGAACGCTGCTTTGATGGTTTGGGGCAGGCGGGTCTGTAATTTCGGGTCACGGTCCATCGGCGTGGGCATCTGTATCTACAAACCCCGCGGTCCTGAGCCACAAACTGCTCCCCCAGGTTCATGGGAAGCCAGGATGAGGGACACAGATGAGACTAGACTTTGCTGGTGTGAAAGGTGGCCACCACAAGCCCAAGAGCTTGCACACAGCATCCACGTAAGACACAGGCGTTTATCCCTAGTGAAGGATAGCAGGTTATCAGCGGGGGAAGCCAAGGATGGATGAACTGAGCCCGCACCCTGCAGAGGTGCCAGGACTGCAACTCTCTTGGCCTGAAATACTCGACTTTGCTGTCTAAGCTGCAGTCCCTCAGCACTCTGATGCACGTCCCTCCTCTCTTGCACACTCACAGCTCCGAGTCTGTCACATCTAGTGCCCTAAAGTCAGCAGCCTGCACTGAGGATCTGGAGCTTTGTTCTCTCCACTACTTGCTAGCAAAAGTTTTGGACTTTTTTCCATCTGGGCATACTTGGAGAAGCACCCACAAGCAGAGATGGATGTCCTCCACTGGGAGGAGTTACAAACTTCAGGAAAGTAAACTGAACGGCCTCCACCAGCCCCTTCCACCCCAACCTCCTGGGTAATAACGCTGGGCACCTCTCCAGAAAATTTGACAGGACGTTTGCTCCCCACCCACGACGAGTCGTATTTTTTTCCCCTTAGCACCAGTTCCACCTGGCAGAGTGATTCACTTTCCACAGCTGCACCAGCATCCCTTCCCACACCTCTTGCGCTCACACGGCTTACTCCATCGCTTCCCTGCTGCTCCCAAGCCCTGTTTCACCGTGACACGGGGTAGGAGACTGGCCCGCAGCAGAAGCTGAAGGTGGCTCCAGGGTAGCTTTTAGAGACTAAGGTGCTTTCACCCTATTAATTACAATTTCCCTTTTCTCCTGCCTTGACCACCTTTGCTTCGTGTTCGCCTTTGTTCAGGCTCTTCTCCGCTTGCTTCCCCGCACGGCCACCGTCCACGCCGCAGTTTCTTCCCCACGTTGCTCCCTGCTCCTCTCCATCTTTCCGCCTGGGCGCCCCGGCC